AGGAGGAGCAGGGTGCTAATCAACCTCAAGGTAGACTAGAGATAGGAGGAGGAGCAGGGAGCTAATCAACCATAAAGTAGACTAGAGATAGGAGGAGGAGGAGCAGGGTGCTAATCAACCTCAAGGTAGACTAGAGATAGGAGGAGGAGCAGGGAGCTAATCAACCATAAAGTAGACTAGAGATAGGAGGAGGAGGAGCAGGGTGCTAATCAAACCTCAAGGTAGACTAGGGATAAGAGGCGGCGCAGGGAGCTAATTAACCTCAAAGTAGACTAGAGACTAGAGACACTTCATCAGTATTCGGACGCTTAGGACAACATGGAAAATCATACAGACATACGATAGGGGGAGTTTGGGATACAGGAAGTAGTAGGAGGAGGGAAGAGATTGGGACGGCGAACCCCAGCAAACAGACAACAGCGCGTGACCCCCTATCCTTCATTAGATTTGACGGCGACTGCAGCGCCAGACACCTTAACTGCAAATGACATTTGGCGCCCTCAAGCAAGCGAACACCGCGGGGGGGGGGGGGAATACTCACGCAAACACAACCTAATGGCGACCTAACCTTAAATGATTAACTTGGAGGGTTGGGGAGGCAGTAGGCCCACAAAACGAGCTACCTTCTGCGCTCTTCTACGGGATAAACTGTCAGAACTCGAAGGTGTAGAAGCCAAGAGGCAAAAGAAGTGCAATGTAAAAGGCGGTCTGACAATTTCTAAACTCTCTAGGTAACTGCCCAGGGCCGGCAATGTGGAGTAAAAATGTAAAAATAGGCTAGGGATAGGAGGAGGAGGAGCAGGGAACCAATCAACTTTATGGTAGACTAGGGATAGGAGGAGGAACTGATCAAGGTAGATCAAGGTAGACTAGAGATAGGAGGAGCAGGGAACTAATCAACTTTAAGGCAGACTAGAGAAAAGGGATATTGTATTGGTTAAAATCTATTGAACTGTTCTCAATTATCATTGGTGTTTAGGATTATCAAGTTCTACAAGGACCCCTCCTAAACTCTGTTCTTCTAATCTTCGGTATCTACCGCTCTTTCAACAACTTCTTATTATACTCAACAGTGATGTCAAGGTACTTTTTATGTAGGAAAGAGGGTTTCCAATTATATCTGGGACTGAATTTTATGAATTTGACCTAAATCGCTGAACTACCATCTGCCGGTTCAAATATGAACCACCAAGATAATGTTAAAGATTAAGGAAGAATTTAAACCGATGATTAAATTTTTAACTAGCGGTAGGCAGTTCTAATTCATTGAATTCGGTCCCTGGATGAATTATTACTGACGCGAATGTTAACAAGGACTTTAAAAAATTCAAACTCATAATTTGTAGAGTTAGGTTTAGGAGGTTTAGAGGCTCAGCTACATTTTGCCTAGTCACAATTTGCCTAGTCACATTTTGCCTAGTCACATTTTGCCTAGTCACATTTTGCCTAGGTAACAGTTTGCCTAGGTAACATTTTGCCTAGTAACATTTTGCCTAGGGTAACATTTTGCCTAGAGTAACAAAAGAGCGAATTTTTTGCCTAGTCAATCATTTTTTCACAAAGAAATTTTCATCAATCCGAGATTTTTTTTTTAAATCCGCAAATTTTTTGGCAAAAACTTTGCAAATTTTTGAAAATCATTCAGTTTCCTTTAACCCAATCAGAAGGAGAGACACATTGAAAATGGCTCCCATGATAACTGCAGGGCTTACCAGGCGGGGTAAGCCCAACTACAGAGATAAGAATAACTTCTATTATGTTTTCAATGGGGAGAGGGCAGAGACCAAGAATTGGCGCTGTTCCCAGAGATCATGCACTGCAACCCTAACAACGAGGATATCTACTGGAATCCTGGTAGGGGATGTACTCCCAACTCATGGCCATACCAACAAGCTGCTGAAGACGAAAGCTAAGACCACAGAAAAGGCTGTGATTGAGAAGTATGCCAATGTTCAAGGAAAACAGAGATCAAAGGACTCCAGACAGTAGGTGAAATTTGTTGTAGAAGCTTTCCATACCATGCCGAAAGCAGAAGATAAATAATGATAAATAAAGATCACCTGTATGAATTCCTATGTATACTCCATGATTATGTAAAATGTATTTAAAAAATATATATATATATGTCTGATACATAACCATATTTTATCTTTTGTAGAGTGACAGGAATGTTAAAATTGCTGTACAGAATACAATTCAATTCATTAATTTTAATTCGTTAAAATTTATCTGGTTAAACTTTAAAAAAATGTTTAATTCTTGACAAAATTTGTTTTTTATAAAAGATTTTTGACTAGGCAAAAAACATGCTCTTGCGTTACCTAGGCAAAATGTTACCCTAGGCAAAATGTTACTAGGCAAACTTGAACTAGGCAAAAAGTTACCTAGGCAAAATGTTACCTAGGCAAAAGTGAACTAGGCAAAATGTGACTAGGCAAAATGTGACTAGGCAAATTGTGACTAGGCAAAATGTAGCTGAGCCGGTTTAGACCTAACTTTCAAAAGTTTAAACCATAAATAATCTTTAGGAAAGGAATTACGTAAAGCTTTGTTTTTCAAAATGAGTGAGAAATTTACGATTTCTCTTTAAAATAAATTTTTTTTTTAAATTGTGGTTTCTTTATAATACTTAAGATAAACTGAGTCCGAATTTTTATGAATTTGAGCCGCGTCTCAAATCCGCCCAAAACCGGTTTAAATCTCGAAAACTTAAATACAATTTAATGCGGAACCAACCATATTTGAGCCGCGACTTAAATTCTGCCTCTTGTTGCCGTAAAAAATGGAGAAAATTATGAGAATTGAACACTTTTAACACTTTTCAAGATAGAAAAATGTTAAATTCTTTCACATTATTGATGAGATAAAGATTTTAAATGGTACCGGTGTGAATTGGGCAGACTCCTCTTTAAAGGAATCACTTAAAGTTCCGTAGAATAAATCAATTGAAATAAATAAAGACCTTAACTTTCAAGTTTTAAAACTCAAAGTTTTGAAAGTTGAAATAACTGAGTACTTGTCCTAGGTTCTGGATTTCTCTAAGAGTAGGGATTTATCGGATACGGAGGATACATCAGAACTATGTAGAATGCTCTGGAAGATAATAGGTAAGAACAATTTTTCGGATGCATCCTTTTTATTTATATGGCGGATCTTATTTTCTTCTTCAAAATGTCAGAAATTTTAGCAACATTTTAATTCTTAAGCATGAAAAAGGCACTTTCAGGTTTGGTGAAAACATCATTTGAATATATTTAGAACTAGCTTTTTCTTTATAATAGTCAACCTATTCAACCAAGATCTTTTATCCAAGCTAAGAATATTCCCATGGTTTTACTCAGCTCCTCACTCAATATTTAAGGCCAATCGCTAAGGGGTTTCTGAGTTATGATCGGACATACAAACATACATATTGATTACTTGCGTTGTCTGTGACATTTTAAAAAATCTAATTTTGAAAAAAAAATTTATAAAACAAATATCCTTGGGTTCCCTCAAAAAAGTTTAGCCATTTTGATCCAGCCGTTTGGCCAGCTATAGTTAACAACATATATTTAAACAAATATATTTATGAAATATGAAATATGAAATATGTCTTATGAAATATGAAATATGAAATATGTCTTATGAAATATGAAATATGAAATATGTCTTATGAAATATGAAATATGTCCTATGAAATATGAAATATGAAAAATGAAAATGAAATATTATTGTTCATGAGAAACCTAGAAGGACTTTAAAAATTAATTAGCATACCTCTGTAAAAATTATTTAAACAAAATGATCGGGCTGAAAACCCAGAATATGAGAGGGAATCAAAACTCCTGATCATAAGTAAGGATGACTCAAGCAATCCCAGCAAAGAATGATTTGATTTGATTTGACTTGCAGAAAATATAAAATTTAAAATATTATTGTTCAGGAGAAAGATGTGAAAAGCTGGAGAAACTCATTCTGACTCGAGACCTGACATACAGGAAAAATATTATCTCTCTCCCCTTTTCATTAATGTTTATGATTTTTAAAGCTGATTATTTTTAATTTTGGTTTCTCTACAAAAGTGGCTTTACATTAGAAGTCCCTTTACATTAGTAGTCCCTTTACATTAGAAGTCCCTTTACATTAGAAGTCCCTTTACATTAGTAGTCCCTTAACATTAGTAGTCCCTTTACATTAGTAGTCCCTTTACATTAGTGGTTCCTTTACATTAGTAGTCCCTTTACATTAGTAGTCCCTTTACATTAGTATTCCCTTTACATTAGTAGTCCCTTTACATTAGTGGTTCCTTTACATTAGTTGTTCCTTTACATTAATAGTCCCTTTACATAAGTAGTCCCTTTACATAAGTAGTCCCTTTACATAAGTAGTCCCTTTACATTAGTAGTCCCTTTACATTAGTAGTCCCTTTACATTAGTAGTCCCTTTACATTAGAAGTCCCTATACATTAGTAGTCCCTTTACATTAGTAGTCCCTTCACTTTAGTAGTTACTTTACATTACTAGTTCCTTTATATTAGTAGTCCCTTTACATTAGTAGTCCCTTCACTTTAGTAGTCCCTTTACATTAGTAGTTACTTTAAATTAGTAGTTCCTTACGGTTAAAGTTCCCTAATAATGATCTTAGCTTGTTTGTTTCTGCATGATTTGTAGTGGATTTGTAGTGGATTTGTAGTGGATTTGTAGTGGATTTTAATATTTATTTTTCAAAAAATTATGAAACAATAAAGGGTGATAATATTTAATGTTTTAGTTCGACACTAAACAACGTAATAGGTAAGTAAAATGGGAATTGTTTTTGATGAGGGTATTTTTTAATATTTCTATTTACCCTTATATTGTGTTTATTTTATTAAATGTTGTGCTGTTCTATAATTAAAACAGTAAACTCCCAATTAAATATTAATCCTGTCAGAGATTTGTGCAGGAAAAACTGTACCATCAATGTTAAGTGACATTATTATTCCAATTTGTAAAAAAAAAATGTTTATAAATATTACATTTCAAAAAGGTTTTATTTTACAAAAAATTGTATATTTCAGTAAAAGGATCCCGACTAACCCATCTGACCCTGAAGAGAAATGTACCGAACAATATTTTCTTAAACCTGGTCGGTCAGAGCTGTCCTTTACTGCAGGAACCTAACCAAACCAAATCAAATTATAGATATTTGCTAAATCATATGTCAGAAATTTGATAAAATTTAACACAGTCAAAGAAAAACCAAATAAAACTTAAACAGATAAAACAACGTTCAAATTCACTAAATGATCTATTGTCCTCTATGAGGAACTAGCTTGGGAAACCCAGCTTTGCTTGAAAATTAAAGTCAACCCAATCAACTTAGAATGTTAAAAATAACACTAAGAACATTCCCGGGATTTTACCATGTTCCACTACCAAAATTTTAGGAAAATCGGTCAAGGATTTTGATCAAATTTCCATACAAGAAAACAGAGAGTACTACTTTATATAGATAATAATAGTAATAATAATCACTCTCATTCCTTCAATAAATGATTTCAGGCTTGAGCCTTATGTAGATAGATAGTAATAATTGTGAAATGTAAACAGATGATTCATATCTGTAAGTAGTGCTCGGCAATAACCTGGTTTGTTAAGTAAAAGAAGCCGAGGAAGTTCTAGAAAACTGAACCAAGGCATTACCTAGCACTAACTGTATATTAAAGGATTGGTTACTGGTACAATCAGGAGCTGGATATTGCTAGTGCCGAGGTAGTGAACGATTTTGGGATGGTTTGCCTGCTCTACACAGACCCAGAGCAACTTTTTCTCAAATGCTGGAACAAGGATAAAACTGTCGGGAAGGTTAGTGTGATATGTTATTAGCTTGCTGATTTTACTTGTTCTCTCTTAACTACTTTGTCCAAAACTAAGGTTATGATTTTTCTTATGGCATCTTCTTTGATGCTTCAACCATTTTTCTTCTCTTTTTACTTTTTTAGTGCTTAGGAACTATTCCAGTTTGATCCAGATCCCGAATTTTTCTGTGAGAAAATGGATCTGGATTTAGCTTATAGACATTTTTTAAAGATTTACCACTTCTTATACAAAAGAAAATTTTCATAAGAACAGGTTTTACAGACTTACATGCTAAGACTTATAAGTTTTATATTTTGAGAATAGGCTTAAACAACGTCAGGCTGAAAAGCATTGACTTAAAAGGAATTGTGCTGGCATACCCTAGCCAGGTCAAGGAGCTATTAGACACTCCATGGCTAATTGAATTGGATTGGATTGGATTGGATTGGATTGGATTGGATTGGATTGGAATGGAATGGATTGGATTGGATTGGATTGGATTGGATTGGATTGGATTGGATTGGATTGGATTGGATTGGATCGAATCGAATCGAATCGCTCTGGACCAAGGTACATAAGCCCACCAGGTGTTAGAAACTGCCCCAACTCCAAGACCACTGAGAGAAGGAGAGCTGCCAGCGGCATCGGTAAAAACATTTAGGGCCCAGGGAGGTAAAGCGGCATCTGGGTTAGGAATGTTATAATGGTTCACAGGCAGTCTCACCATGGAGAGCCAGAAAAAGAATTGAGCTGTGTTTTACAGCCAGTGGTGATAATCACAAGAGTATTGTGGTCTTGTGAGTACTTGTTGACAGCAAGAAGATTATGAAAGTTAAAGGTATGAGGGGTTGGATGTGAATCAACTTTCCAACCAGGCTCCAGATGACATTTTGAGCTACTGAGTCAACTTTTAGGCAGTTGAGTAAGTCGCACAAGAAACAAGACATCTTGTCCTGGCAGAGCGGCCAAGCCCAGTCTCTAGTATTGTATTGGATCGGACATTGTTATGAAAACAGAGAAAATTTGTGTTTAAGATCAAATTTAAGCTTTTCGCATTGCAACTCTTGAAGAAAAATTATAAAGAGATCCAATATCTAGAAAAAAGGACTAGTAGTAGTTTCAGGGATTCAATGATTAGATATGTAAGGACTATAGTTTCAGAGTGATCTAATGATCAAATAAATAATAATTTACTTTAAAAACAATAAGCATTGATCTAAATTGTTTTTCTAGGTTCGGCGGAGTATGCGTGTGTTTCCTCAGCCCTATTTTGACCGCCCAATATATGACCAGATGGAAAACTGTCCACGTGGACTCCGCCATAGCTGTTCATCCACATTCCTTTACCTTAAGAGACTTTTCCACGAGGTGTTGAGAACAGGAGACTGGGAGAGATTGCCCGTAGCTAATAGTTTACGGAAACTGCGGCTAGAGAATACAAAGGCAGGATGGAATATAGTTTATCCCCCCCCCCACACTCTACAAAAATTTGCAGTGTGCACTGAAAAAAGAAAAAAATTTTATAAATCTTCAGAAACTTTTGTTTGGATGTTGTTGATCTTGAACGTTTGATATCTATATCCAATGTGGGAAACTAAGGTTAAAGGAGACGGTGTATCAGTAATCCTGTCTTCCTGTCCTAACATATCTTCTCTAGGCTATCTTGTTTTTGCAGCAGCAGGTAATTAATTATTTGTAACATTCATCTTACAGACAAAGTACCATGACCTGAGGTAGGAATTTTTTTGTAAGGACACAACCCGTCAGTCAGTGAAATTGGGGCTCTGCTGAACGGTTCGGTGTTGTGATATCATCTTATTACAAAAGCAGTTAATAAAAAAGAAGGGGGCACCTAAACCGGATAATTTGGGTCTGTTTTAACTTTCTTTAATGAAGAACATAATTTTTCTAATCGGAATAAGATATTAAATCTAGTATATAAGGACTTCTTTTTAATAAATCTTTTGTTTTAGGTCTGAAGCAGGTATTTGGTTATGAGGAAACTGCTGAAACCAAGCTGACCGAAATCTTCTACCGTGGTCCATCTGACCTCAAGCTCCACACTATATCAAACTGCTGTCCCGGACTCAATACCCTCTTCCTCGGGAGCAACAATCCTCGATCTATTAATACAAGGATATTCTCAACCTGGAGAAGTTTGAACTATCTCACTCTGGNGATTTGATTTGATTTGATTTGATTTGATTTGATTTGATTTGATTTGATTTGATTTGATTTGATTTGATTTGATTTGATTTGATTTGATTTGATTTGATTTGATTTGATTTGATTTGATTTGATTTGATTTGATTTGATTTGATTTGATTTGATTTGATTTGATTTGATTTGATTTGATTTGATTTGATTTGATTTGATTTGATTTGATTTGATTTGATTTGATTTGATTTGATTTGATTTGATTTGATTTGATTTGATTTGATTTGATTTGATTTGATTTGATTTGATTTGTGTTTAAAGCCGTCCAACGAAAGTAAACTAATACTTAGTTCCAAACACTAAATGTGTTATCCTTAAGTCACTAATTTTGGAAATGTGGTTTTAATGCTCGAATTATTCAGAAGAAAATTGGTCTCGGGAAATAATCATGGAGATTGAAGAATTATAATAATCCCTTTCTAAAAAAAGTAAACTTTTTATCTTTTTAAATTGTCCAGGAGATTGGATCTCAGCTCCGGGGTTTGAAACTTCAATGTGCCGGGTTTAATCTCCAGGATATAGCTAACCTCTGCCCTAATCTAGAAACCCTGATCATACAGAAGGAACCTCCAAACCCAGGTTAGATTATCTAATTGTTATTCAGTAAACACCTAGGGGTAGATATAATCTTGGGAAAATATTCATCCTTTTAGTTCTCATTCCCCGAATTCTCATTGGTCGAATCTCCGAACTTTAAAGAAACACGTTTTATAATGCCGCCAATTCAAAAGTTTCCGGCTTTTGTAAATTTTAAGTTTAGTTATTTAATATGTTAATAATAATATTTAATAATTCGGACTGAGGTCATATTTAATGAATAGTGAGGCATTATTGAACTAGCTATAGCTAGTTAAACTAATTCTATACCGTATATTTGTATCAGAAAATTAAATAATTAGTTCAGCTATTTGTATCTAGTTCAACTTTCTCTCGTTATTAATAAGTTCCGTCTTAGAATAAATGATTTTTTGTAAGCTAGCTATCAATATAAATCATGCTTCGTTCGTTCATATATATTTTTTCATTTAGTTGTGAAGTCCCGTGGGAACCATGGTTTTGGATCTCTTCGTATTCTGGAAGTTTCATGTGCTCATTTCTCCAAACAGTGCATGGAGTTCGTTCTCTCATATGCTACCAAGATTGAGTCAATTAAGGTCAACTTACTAATTATTTTATTGTATTATATACAAGTTTCCAATCATTGGTTATTGTTTTCTCAAAAATGACTTTTTACCAAAAGATATACTATAGATTTGAATATGAATGATTTGATATTGTTTATTGTTGAATAATTCTCAAGAACCCAAGCCGAGTTATGATAAGGATGATTTAGAAGACTTGGAGTAGCTGATGATGGTTCTGATAGACTTGGTAATCTTGCATCAGCATCTCACGGATACTGTCTGAATTTATCTTTTGAAGATATTTACTGTAGTTGACTGCTTAACTTCTTGTGGAATAGAGTTCCATTTTCTTGGAACTCTAACTTCTTGTGGAATAGAGTTCCATTTTCTTGGAACTCTTAAGCTGGAGAAATTGTTCCTGAAACTGGTCCCGGAGTTTTGTATTTCCAAGTTCAAAGGGTGATTAGCCATTCTTGTGACTCTTTTGTGGTTGAACTTTCTAAACCATGTTGCAGGGTTGACATCACAGAATCCATGAATTATTTTAAATGTCTTATTTGATATGATTTATGTTTTATTGAAAAAAATAAAATTCTTGATCTTATTTTAGATCTTGAATATCCCGAAGTTGGTGAGAACTGATCTTGAAACTTGGTTCTCGACAAAACATCTTCCATTTCTCAAAACCCTAATTATTTTCAAGGTTACAATTTTTTTATTAACTTTTAATTTCTTCCTGATTTGATTTGATTTGATTATAAAATCAGAAAAAATTACGACAATATCCATCAGTGATTTTGTTATTTCTTTGTTGTTGCGTTTTTTCTTTCTTATTTTACTTTATCTTAGTTAATTTTTGAACTTTTTATGACAACTTACATTTGTTCATCGGGAAAGAATTTTCGTTGGTGTGTTAAAAAAATTTAAAAATTTCATTACCTAAATAAAACCATTTCTTGAAAAAACTGTCAATTTTAGGGCCCAAGTATGAATATGGAGACCACGATGAGTATTCTCAGTGATCTGCCCGCAATATCAGAGATAGGAATATCAGATTTAAACAGGTAAAATACTTTGCGGCATTACAAAACATAACGCGTTAACCAGAAACCTGTTAAATAGGAAGACGACATTAACGCAGTACTTAAGTGCATTTGATTTGTTACAAAGGAAATAGCTTTAATAAAAACTTATTTTATGGGTCTGTTTAAACTGCACAATTGCTGTGTCTCGTGTTAATCTGACTATTTAACGTCATGACTTTAGTCTAAAAGTCGATTTCCTATTACAGTGTTTTCTGGTTCAGACTGTCATTCAATAATGCTATCTTAATAATAATGTAATAAGAAATAAAATAAATTAGCATAGGTCAACAGAAACTAATGTAAGACAGTAATTTTAATCAAAATAAATTTTCCTTTAAGATTCCTCATTTATAGTATATTCTTGATGTTCCCTTCTACAGTATCATTCTCCATGTTATTTTATTGATATTGTGCTTTTGAGTTCCTTATTTTTTAAGGTTGTATCCCCTAAAGTCCCTTTTTTAGTATTGATGTCCCTAAGTCTCCTGAGATGAGAAAGTTGTTGCTTGAGATAAAAAGGAGAGATTGGGACATCACCTTAGCAGACTTTGTGGATGGAGTAGATGCTGAGGTCAGTATTAGAGGAAAACAGGGGTTTAAGTCAGTAAAGGTTAACAAATTTTTCCTCCCACAAAATAATTCTTGATAATTTATACCCCTTAATAAAAAAAGAAAAAACACAGTACGTGTGTATAATGTATATTTTTAAAAACGAAAATTTGGACATCTGAAGGCAAGTTTTTTTTCATCCTTTTTCACACTTTTTGCCCAACATGTTTTCCCCTATACATATACAATATACATACTTTTTTTTTGGGGGGGGGGGTAATGATTTTCAAAAGAGGGGTGGTTGGAAATATCTTAATAGAAAATATACACCCCTGATGAAAAGTTTCCTAAATTAAATTTAAACTTAATGTTTTTTTGGACGAAATAAGAAAACTTTTTTCTACAACATTTTTTTCGTTATATTGCAGGAGAGAGATTTTGCCAAGGTTCAGAGTCTGCATTGGTTTCATCTCACACAAATACAAGAAAACCAATGCTGGAAGAGTCAACCTTTCTAGCTGTACAGTGTACAGTGTACATTATGTACACTACAATATGTACAATCTTTAGTAAATTTTATGTACAGTACAACCTCTTAAAGATTTTAAAAAATTTGGATAAATTTTTGATTTTTAAACTCGGTATTAAATTTTGCTATTTATACTGAAGTTGTGAGCTTACAACATTTTTTGGTGGTCGCGGTTTTACACTTATTTAACAAGCAATCTTTGGAAAAACTGTAATGCGTTTATCAATTTAGAAGTTAGGATATTTTAACCATTAACTGCATATTTTTTTCTTTATTTTTAAACATTTTATGTGTGAAATTTGAATGTCGTATTGATAAAGACGACTTTCAATCATCGTCCATTAATTCTTGTTCAAAACCTTTAAAACTCAAAATTCTTTTTCTTTCCATATGAACAGTGTACATTGTACACTGTACAGTGTATATTGTACATCGTTTCCTGATTGTTTTTTCGATACATAACAGTGCTTTCAAATATTATATTTATGTTATTGTAAGACTACTGTAAGTCCTGACTCCTGAAATTTTATTGTTATTTTTTAGTTAAATATTTGTAATCAAAAGGTTACATAAATTCATTAGAGCTCGCTGTCGAGTTTAATCAGTTTGTTTTAACATCTAATTTTTTCCTCTTAAATCTTATTTAGAGATGGTAATCGTTTTTTTTTATTCGTTTATACAGTTTTATCTGATAATTACAGTAGATAAAGGTAATGTTTTATCTTTTATCTGATAATTACAGTAGATAAAGATAATGTTTTATTTTAATCTGATAATTACAGAAGATAAAGGTAATTTTTGTCTCTAATCTGATAATTACAGAAGATAAAGGTAATTTTTGTCTCTAATCTGATAATTACAGAAGATTAAGATTACGTATTATTATATATCTGATAATGACAGATGTTTTATTATGTTCTATTAACTGTCATGTTTTAGTTTCAGATGCTAAACCAAGAATGTTTGATCTATGCTCTGCTGAGGGAGGGGTGGAGGAATTCATAAATCATTAATCCTTGGATCAGTTAAAAAAAAATGTTATCTGTAGGATCTTGTGTCATCTAATTGAATTATCACATTATTTTATTTTTACTTTGAAGTTGTCGACTTTATTCAAATATACCACTTGGCCTTTCTGTTCCACGTCTTAGACTCTTCCTTAGATTGAGTTTTTTCGAAAGAGTGATTCTTAAACGTTAAGTTAAACCTTAAGGGATGTTAATTTATAATGAGCTATCACACAAATCAGGATTCAATAAACTTCCATCTTGTGCAATCTGCAATATAGAAGTGGGATAGAAAATCGCCATGTTTGACTGAATGGAAGAAAAATGTGAATCAACGGAAGAAAGATATCAAATTGTAACCTTAAGACAAGACAGCAAGACTTGAACCACAAGAGATGTGGTTCAACTTAGTCTAAGCGGTTCAACAGCTTCTTACTGTTCAATAAATCATGTCCCTAACACAAAAAGTCTGCATTGACCTGAAAAGTTTATTCCTGTCGTGAAATCAATTTCATTGAGGTTATATCCACCTCTGACATGTTGTTTAAATTCCTCCTTGTGTACAGTGTGGAATGAGTGTATGTACTGAGGCTGTACACACTGACCTCTATCCTCCAACTAATCTCCTCTCAAGGAACAGTAGCATTTTATCAAATAAATTATGAATTATCATTCAAATAAAGTGAAATTCAGTTATGATTAAAATCTTGCAATTTGCATGTTATGCAACATTTTCAATACGTTTCTCGCTTTTGTATTTCTCATCCCCAAATATAAAATCAATCCTGAAGGAGTTGCAAGGTTGCCAAGTCATACGTTGAAGTTTCTTTTAACAATTTATTATTTTTGAATTTTTAATCTTATAAATTGGATACAGTTGAAACACACAAATTCTGATTTGATTTTTCTTCTTGTCATTGTTTCTCTCTTTCCTTTATTCTTTTCCTTCTGTTGACTGTCCCTGATTCTGATAATTCTGAAAGAAGATTAAAATTTCTCGAAACCAGTATTTATTGGGACACTCTTCACCAAGTATTAGTTTTCAGTTTTGTTTAACTCAAGAATACCTGACTCAACAAGCTGATTGAAGGTTAATACATTGCTGACTAAGCTTTAACTTATACTAACGATATATTTTCCGAAATGAAGGTAAAATGGACTTGGACTGAAAATATTGGTCTCGTGCTAGAACAGAGTTCCTTATGTGATAGGAAGTTTTAAATATCATATGGATTTCCTTTTAGAACATTTCGCAATTAATTAAGTTATTATGGACTCTAAAACATAAATTGTACTGGTATGCTAGAAAAGGGAACTTAAAAGGATTTATGGCTGAATATTTCATCAGGTAATTCAGACAATGCATTAATGAAGTAAAAATTACACCATCAAACTTTTTTTCTAATAATAATAAAAGGGTTTGCTGAGAAAAAAAACTTTTTTTCTAATAATAATAAAAGGGTTTGCTGAGAAAAAAAACTTTTTTTCTAATAATAATAAAAGGGTTTGCTGAGAAAAATGTTAACTGAATTGTAGCAGCTACGTTTCAAAAGATTTTATTTTCTAGAAATATTTTTACTCATTGTTGTCAATTAACTTTTTCTTATTTTGTAAGGATTTCAAACTTGAAAAAGATGGGAAAAAAATTCTCTTTAAAGATAATGAAAAGGAAAAAAATCTATTTTTCGACGATGAAAGCATTGAAGTTGAAATGAACATACCAAATGTCCTGAGGCAGAAATTTAAAAGAGTATCGTTGAATGAAACTCCTGAGTTTCCTTTTTTTGGGTCTATGCATTTGCATAGATTTTGATTTAAGAAATCAGAAAACAAAAAAACAAACCACATGTTTACAAAAATATTGATATCTACAAAACTGCCTGACCTCGTTCATGAAACTGGGTTTCATTATGATACACTAGATTAAGTTTCGGTCTCTGTCCTACAATAGTTTGGTACTGTCGAGTAAAAAATTGATTTTTTTATAATTTTTTTCTTGTAGGCCTCCAGTAAGTTTATACTTCCATTTCCCCTTCCCTCTAGTTCTAGTGAAGATATCAATGGATACAAATATAGATAAACAATCCTCAATATTCTTCTCTATAGCAGGTTTAATATATTATATATTTGCTTGTAATGGGTACAAATATAGATAAACAATCCTTCATATTCTGCTCTATACCAGGTTTAATATATTATATATTTGCCTGTAATGAATACAAATATAGATAAACAGTCCTCAATATTCTTCTCTATACCAGGTTTAATATATTATATATTTGCTTGTAATGGATACAAATATAGATAAACAATCCTCAATATTCTTCTCTATAGCAGGTTTAATATATTATATATTCTTGTAATGGATACAAATATAGATAAACAATCCTCCATATTCTTCTCTATAGCAGGTTTAATATATTATATATTTCCTTGTAATGGATACAAATATAGATAAACAGTCCTCAATATTCTTCTCTATAGCAGGTTTAATATATTATTTATTTGCTTGTAATAGATACAAATATAGATAAACAGTCCTCAATATTCTTCTCTATAGCAGGTTTAATATATTATATATTTGCTTGTAATGGATACAAATATAGATAAACAATTCTCCATATTCTTCTCTATACCAGGTTTAATATATTATATATTTGCTTGTAATGGATACAAATATAGATAAACAATCCTCCATATTCTTCTCTATAGCAGGTTTAATATATTATATATTTGCCTGTAATGAATACAAATATAGATAAACAGTCCTCAATATTCTTCTCTATAGCAGGTTTAATATATTATATATTTGCTACCCCCTTTGGGGATGGTGCGGTGATGTGGGCTCTTCCCATAACTCTCTTCGGACAGATGGGTGACTGTTTTATTTATTTATAATGGATACAAATATAGATAAACAATCCTCCATATTCTTCTCTATAGCAGGTTTAATATATTATGTATAAGAAGTCCATTTTTAAATTTAACAATGTTTAGCATTTTTTAATGACAGGTACGCAGTACACATTGTGACAAACTCAGAAACAAATTTATGGTTGACGGTAGCTCAGAAATTCTGTTAAATCTGATTAAATGGAGTGTTAGCGTAATTTCAAGTGACCCTCCATGCAAAGATACCTTCGTTTTTTTTACTGGAAAAGTTTTTTATTTTTGTCAGCTTCTCAATTGCTTATAAAAGCACGTAATGGGCAAGTTACTTTCGCAGAGAAACCATACATAAAAATAAACCGTTTAAAGAAACAAAAACATTGATATCTTATTCATACTTGATCAGGACATAGCTTTATAGGATCATCTTTAAAATTGAACTTGTCACCTCTGCATGAAGGATCACATGAAATTACGCTCACATTTCCTTTAAAATCTGTTGTTTTTAGCCGGGGTAATTGCTTTATGGTCATCTTTCATGGTTTAAAACATTGAGCATTTAAACAAAAAGAAAATCACTGTAGAGCTTGTGTTATAGCTCCGGGTCAAATATCGGGAAAATTATTTTTGGCCCTGATATTGAATTAAAATAGTTAGACCTTTAAGAAATAGTTTTTGGACTTAAATCTTGTTTTTTATTTAACAGGTAGTACATCAACAGGACCACGCTGCTCACCAGCATGTACAAGGAAATAAAACATTTTTTAGATAAAAAAATATTTGTCAAATATAGTTGGTTTTTTAAAGGAAAGCATTATCAAATAATAAGATCATTGATCCATTGGCCGAATTTAAAGAATTTGAGCGGCTGTTTAAATTTAAGCCGCGGTTTAAATATGGTTGGTTCCGGCGCTTAATTTAAACCGGGTTTTGGCGGATTTAAACCGCGGCTCAAATTCTTTAAATTCCATCTCTGAAGGTTTAATTTGGTACTTGTCTGCAATATAGGTGTACACAATTGTTCGTCATGAAAAGAAACATGTTTAAAACAAAAGGGAACCACCAATTTCAAGGAAAAATTCTGAATAAATCGGTAAAGTCGTCTCTGAAGTCGCATCGTTTGTGGATAAAAAAAGGAAAAGTGATGTTTTCAAATGTTTGTTTTAAAGGAGGAATCAAGATGTAATTGATTTAACCGGAGAGGAATCAAATCAGAATTCAGAATTTAAACACAATTTTATACAATTAGGTTTGTAAGATATTTAACAATTAAATACGTTTTTGATTCAACAAACTTAGCTTTTAAATCGGGTATGTATAAAATGTTCCAACTTTCAGTATTTTCAGGAGTCGGATCGGCAGTGGACGGCCGAATTGTTTTCTCCAACACGGCGGTGACTGGATACAATGAGACCGGTTACTCCTTGAAGGACAATTCTAAAACCGGCATCTTAAATAGGATTTCCATTCTCCAACTTAATATTCTCAGAACTAAGGAATCAAGGCAAACATTATTTCTGAATCACCTGAAATTGAATGTGAGATAAATGTTCCAAAATATTTTAATTCAATCGAAATGTAACTTAAACTTTGAATTGAACGATATTTTTTCACTAGAAAGCAATTTAGTAAATATTAAATATCAGCTTTTATCTGAAAAATGACAAAATTCAATAATTTCCTATGTCTTTATTGTAAAACTCCGCAAAGGCCTAAAATTGTTAATTGTCAAAAGTGATACTTAGATAAAGATAATAAAAAAATTGAATTTACTTCTTTAGCTCTCTTAGTATTTTTAAAATCTAAATGGCGATTTAGTTCAATCGAGAATGTTACCTTATCATTTAAAAAAAAAAAACATGATTTAAATTTTAAGATTTTCTTTTGCATTGATTCTAATGTTAGCCTATGATAAGTGTACCCTGTCTGAAGAACCTCAAGATCTTTGTAACACCTAGAGCTGGTAGGCCTGCTGAGAAACTACTCTTAGAGCAAGCTCTCAATACTCCAGAGCAATCCTCAACCTCATTTTCATTCTTCGGAGGTTCTTCGTTAGAGGATGAAACCTCCGGTTGCTCTAAATCTGATAAATCCTCTAGTTATCAGCCTGGTGAAAGAACGGAAACCCCCGAAGAGAAAGTAAGAAAACTTATGAAATCCGCGAACTGTTTTGTTTTTGTTTTACAATGTATACAAAGAGAAAATGTTCAGTATTTCAAGAAGATGGGCGCTAAAAGCCTAGTCTATTTTATATTTGCCTTTCTGTCTGTTTGTATCTAATATACGTTGAAAAGGCTGAACCGATCAGGTCTAAATTTTTATGGCAACTCACATGACCCCAGAAAAGTTTTATGGACCGTCAAAATTAATCAATTTTGCCCAGAAAAAAATTCAGAATTTTTTTTTGTTTGAAAATGCGCCAATGTAAGAGTTGGCAAATCCACGAAAATATGCTCTAAAAGCATTTTTTCTTAAAAAAAATATCTTAAAAATTGGGACCGGATTTAATTAATTGCAAGAAGTCGTTGAACTACTTAGTGATGGTTTAACCACGTAGAGACGGCTTTACCAATTATATTTTACTGAAGTAGTTGAAACGGTGGTAGGTAGTTGAGCGACCTCTCTCTAATTGATTGACTATGATTTAGATACCTACTGAGTTTTTGGATGAGATAACTGCAGAGCTCATGCTCATCCCGATGGTCTTACCAAGTGGGAAGTTCGTAGACAGGTACAATTATAATATAATCCTAGCTTCCTAGCTTAGGTGAAAATCAGACCTCAGAAAGTTTTTAACGCTTTTTGATCTTTACTCCCCAAATTGTTAATCTTTCAATGCGGCAATAAAACTGTTAAAATAAATTAACATAATTGGAGATACAATAATTTTTAGAAGTGGGGGAGAGGGATAATTTTTCAAGTGAATATATTATGTACCCCCAATTCAGTTTTGTTCAGGGGTACCCTTGAGAAGTGCAATGAATCCCAGGCTATGTACGGAGGTTTACCCAGAGACCCATTTTCAGGTTCAACATTTTGTATTGTATTGCTAATATTGTACATAATAATGTAAATACAAAAACAATAGCATACCTGTAAAATGTCTGATTATTTTATTTTATATCATAGAAAGCTCCAATTTATGTATGAACAAGTTTTGTGCGTCCTCGATATATACATCCTCTCTTTGCATCATCTTTGTGCTTTTCAATGTCCGCCTTCTTTTTGTATCCTCTTTGTGCGTCCTCAAAGTGTGTCATCTCTTGGCGTCTTTATTAGTGTGTCCTCAAAGTGTGTCCTCTCTTAGCGTCCTCATTAGTGTGTCCTCAATGTTCGTCTTCTCTTAGCGTCCTCAATGTGCGTCTTTAATATTGAGTCCTCAATATGTGTTTTTTCTTTGCATCCTTGTTAGTGCGTCCTCATTAGTGCGTCCTCTCTTCCCTTCCTTTCTTTGCGTCCTTTTTCTTGCGTTCTCAATTTGCGTCCTGGTCTTAAGTTTGTTCTCAATTTGCGTTCCCTCTTTACGTTCTATTTAGGAAAACTTGAAGTCTCTCAATGCTAGTTGTTTTAAATACCTTCTTTTGATATAGAAAATGTTTAATTAAATTCCATTCAATGTCTTTTCACTTAGGACGTGTGTACACGGAAAATCTAAAACCGGTTTTCTGCGCTGAGCTGAAGAGTAGAATAGACGCCTATCTTACACAGCAGAATATTGATACACGTGCTCGAACAGTTGGGGATGCCGCCGCCATTGATAGATTTATTAAGAGTAAAAACAGTTTTAAAGGAACAAAAAGAAAACACTCCTCAGTTTTGATAAATTAATTATTTTATTTTTATTTATTAACTCATAAATAATTCTATTTTCAGATTTAAAAAATGCTCTATTTTATTGGTTTAGGTTTAGGGGATGCAAAGGTAAGTGTTATATACATTTTATACATGCAAATTTTTTTATTTTAAGGATGATGTGATGTAAAATTTAAAATTATTTTAGGATATAACAGTCCGTGGTTTAGAGATAGTCAAGCAATGCGACAGGAACCAGATTTTTCAAGAATTACTCAATAAATAGATAAATAAATAAATAAATAAATAGATAAATAGATAAATAGATAAATAGATAAATAGATAAATAGATAAATAGATAAATAGATAAATAGATAAATAGATAAATAGATAAATAGATAAATAGATAAGTAGATAAGTAGATAAGTAGATAAATAGATTAATAGATAAATAGATAAATAGATAAATAGATAAATAGATAAATAGATAAATATATTAATGGTACCGGTATAAATTCAAACACTTTTTATTGTTGTTTTTCGTTTTCTTTTTTAATAAGTTTTTTGTCTTCTCCTAAATGAATTTGTTTTAGAAGATTATTTTAAAAGGGATACAATGATTCCATTGTTTTGGACTCTTTCTGTTTCTCATTCTATTAATTTCTTGGATATTTTTGTCGTTAAATATTTTTTTTGTTTTTAAGTAATCAGAGTCTGGAAAAATAAATATTTCTGTTTCTTCAGTGAGATTTTTTAAAAAATTTGCATTTTACATTTTATTTTGTAACTTAAACTTTTTTCACTGTTTTACTGTATTTCAACTTTTTAATATAAAAGTATTTTTGTCAATTACTTAAATGTGTAGTTGTAAACAATGCTTAAAAACTGTTAAAATTTTTTTAAAATGTGTAGTTGTAAACAATGCTTAAAAACTGTTATAATTCTATTTTTGTTTGAAAATGAACTGGTTTGTGTAGAGTATATCTGGAGCATTATACCTCAATACTCACCTGCGGGAAGGAAGAACTAGAGATATTATACGGAAGGAAGGAAATATTTTTATTTTTTTTTGTGGAGAAATTTTTCCTTCAATATTTAGAACTTTGATCAAAGTCATTTTTAAGACTCTTGATAACATCATAAAGAACCATCTTTTGAAACGGAAATTTTACATTTAATGATGATTTTGATCCTAAATATTCCTTTTTTTTCAAGAGAGGTTATTTTGGCGGATAGAGACATGGTTGAACAGGTAAAATTTTTTACAGATAAAAGAAAAGTTTGGATTTAATAAATCATTTAAAATTTGTGCTGAAGTGAATTCAATGATTTAAGAGTGCAGATACTATTCTTGAAGGCGCTAAGGAGTCGGATATTGCATTTTTAGGTAAGTGACACATTTTTTAATCTTGATTTGATTTGAAATAGACATTTGTAATAAAAAATAATAAAATGAAAACTTAAAAGTTTAATTGTCCCCAGTTTAGCTAAAATTGGGAGGGGAGGGGGGAGTATCAAAGATTTCAAATTTTCCCAATGCCTTAAAATTGTTCTAGTCTCTTACCCCAGCATCTAGAATCCATTACAATTTTTACTTTATTTATAGTTGTCGGAGATCCATTTGGAGCCACAACCCACACTGATTTGGTGTTGCGCGCACGGGAGCAAGGAATACCGCACCGTGTTGTTCACAACGCATCAATAATGAACGCTATTGGATGCACAGGACTTCAGGCAAACAAATCAATCAATCAAAAATCAGAGGGTTGTTTGTTCAACTGGCCTTTATTTGGGGAAGGACTTAGTTATTCATAAATCCAGAGGTGGTTTCTTTTGTATGGATAATTCCTCCAGTAAGCACTAGCCATGGTTTTATATTTGTTGTAGTCCAACCAATCAGAAGCCACCAAAATCTTCTCTTGGTTCATGAGATCTCGATAAGTTTCTGCTCTGGACTTCAAGTATCTTTCTCATTTCAAATGTCTGAGCTAAGTTTTTATTAAAAGAAATAATAAATCATCAAGATTATTTTTGGGTTTATTCCCTTTTTTTCGGAGGAATTTGAGTCTTTGTCAGAAACTATGAATTCTGTTAAATCAAATAATCTAAGTTAAAAATAACAAAGGTTGTAACCCTCTGGTTGTAAAGAACTCTGAAGAGAGGTTTATATTGATTTTTTTGTTTTATCAGTTATATAATTTTGGAGAAACAGTTTCTATTCCTTTCTGGACAGAAAACTGGAAACCAGACAGCTTCTACGATAAAATTATGAAAAACAGGAAATCAATCGATCAAATAAATCATTCTATTGATTCAACAGATTCATCAATTGAATAATCAAATCTATTTTGAATGATACAGTCATTTTGGAATTAAAGAAGACGTAAGACAACCCTAGAAGTCTGATTTGATTTGATTTGATTTGATTTGAATCAATCAATCAGTCAATCAAATCTAATTGATCAATGGTCTAAATCAAACAATTAGGTCAATCAATCGTTTAATCCGATTAAAATCATTCATTCGATTTTTAAAAAACAAATGCATTAATTTAATCAAAATCGATTAATCATTAGATTTAAAATCCATCTATCAATCAACTTAATCATATTTTACCAACCAACTTAGTCACGATTTACATACACACTTATTCCAATTGTTTTTTTAGACTTCAATCAATTTTTCTTCTACAACTCCAGAAGTATTTAACACTAGTGGCTTAACAATTGTTGTCAATTTATGCTTTTTTTGTCTCTTAGGTCTTACCTTTCAAACTCTATGCAATATGCACCTTCTCGATTGAGGCTGTACAGTTTAAATAGTTTGATTGTATTGTATTCAGAGACAGTGGCCAGCATACACTTTGCTTACTTGATATTAAGGTTTCTTTCAGAACAGATATTTATTATTGTTGGTTTTCGGACTTAACTACTAATTGATAGTAGNTTAATATGTTTTCTCTTCACTGCAGTACACTAAAACAGTCATTACTCACAAACTCACAAGGAATTATAAGTATTTGTAAGTATTAAGACTTTTGACGCAGCAAGTATTTCCGAAATTACGTTGTGCAAGATTGTTAAGAAAAATTTATTTAAATATTTAAATTCTAGGTGAAAGAGCAGTCTGAGGAAAACTTAATTAAAGGAAGAAAAATCTTTGAACCTCCCAGGGATTAAAACTTTAAATAATGTTTTGAAATAATTTGTTTGTTTTGTCTTTTTATAATTCTCTAAACTGTTAAAAATTAAGGCCAGTTTGATACAATTCCGTAGAAATCAATTTGGCGTCAAAACTTTCACGGCAGAAGAACGACCTTTTCTTCCATATTTCTTCTTCGTGATGGCGTACCCCAGCTAGATCGATGAGCCCACGGGACTTCCCTAGCTTCTTGAATTGAATTGAATTGAAAGGCTTCATTTCTACAGTTAGTAATCGGACAATCTTTAAATAGAGCATGACCCGACAGCAATTATACTTTTGAAGAAAATTGGAATTTGGGGAATTTCCCATATTCCAAGATATTTGGGAAATTTCCCAGGTTCCCAGGCATTTTGGGAATACCCGAAATTTCCCAAATTCCTATAAAACTTTGACGGTGGTATTTTTTAAGATTTTGTAAATATCTCAAATGACTGGATATCTTGAAATCCCTCAAATGCCTGGGTATTTGGAAAATATGCCTAAAAGCTAGGCATTTGATAAATTTCCAATAATTAAAAAATAAACTACCCTCAGATTCCCTAAGGAATTGGGGGAATTCCCCAAATTCCCAGGCATTAAAGGAATTTCCCAAATAAATAGGCATTCGAGAAATTTTCTATAATTCAAAAATAAAACACATTTAGAGCAGGCGCGCAACTAGGGCGGGGGGCATGCCCCTCCCTTAAGAAGGCTTGCCCCCCCCCTGTAGGGGGGGGCAAGAAATGACGAAGTCCACCCTGTTTTGCAATTTAGCGATTCATGAATCCAGACCCTGAGGAAATTTAAGAGCTCTTATCGTAAAATAAAAAAGATAATTGAACGTTAGTTTATTGAGCTTATAGTTCAATCCATATAGCACTTAATACACCATATACACACATACAGACCCCCTTCGTCTCCGAGCCTAACTACTGCCATAGATCAGAACAGTTTGACAAGGTTCCAATGTGCCTTAATCTTTGTTTTTTTTATAGTTGCGCGACTGATTTAGAGTCTTTAAGAAATTTGGAGAATTTCCCATATTCCCAGGTATTTGGGGAATTTCCAAGACTCACAGGCATTTGAGGAATTTCCCAGATATTTGGGGAATTTCCAATTTTGACTTCTTTTCTCAATTGCTGTTACTCCCTGAAATAAAGAGACACTTGAAATTACGAAGACAGTCCCTTTTGTCAGTTTGAAATAAATTCTTGAATTATGATTAATCCAAAATACGAAAAGTTTTGATAAAGATTCATGAGTACCCAGCAGGCAGCTCAACAATTATTAGAGATTGTTGTTAATAAGGTAAATTAAAAATATTGCAAGATTTTTTTTTTTTTTGTTATCATCTGAATGTTTAAGGAGCAAGAAAGAGGAACTGGGTCTGTTCATTTAAAACCAGATAGTAAGGTAAGTTTTGGTTTCTTTGTCATAAAAAGATTTTATTTCATTCTTAATTTTATAAACGTATCTGAGTTTAAAAGAAAAAAAAACATAATGTAAATGTTTACGAGACAAATTTTAATATCCCAGGAAACAGGAAAGGAAAATTGTTAAAATAGAAAGAGTGGAATCTAAGTGAAATGAAAATATTAGTTTATATATTGCACAATGAACTATAAATTGTTTAAGATAAATGTATTTGAAGAAAAATCTAAAAATGCGTAAGCTGTTTTAAGTAAAAAAAGAAGATTTACGGTAATATAGAAAAAATTGAAATTAATAAACTAGTTATTTGGTAATTTGTCTGAAGTAAATTAAATTATCACTTTCAATTTCTCACTGTCTAGTTTTTTGGTGTAAAAATAAGGATATCTTGAATATATACTATCTAGGTTGTTTGTGTAGCCCGTGTTGGAACGGAAACTCAAAAACTATTAACATGTTCTCTTCTCACCGCTTCACAGGCAAACAGTTCTTATAATACATATAGAACTCACTTCTATAATTAAATAAATTAAATTGATTTTAAAATTGTTGAATTCTAATGTAAATGTTCAATTTATCATTCAAATATTTAAATGATTCTTTGATTTTTATTCTAAATAATTAGGATAAAAGTTCTACTCAATTCTTATAAATTTTAATAATACTAGAAATTCAAGGCGCTTCGCGCCCTTCTTTCTAGCCTTAGAGGGCGCTTCGCGCCCATCTTCTAAATTAATTGTAAACATGTTCTCTTTGTGTACATCGTAAAACTAAACAAAAATAATTCGCGGATTTTTACAAAAAATTTCGCGGATTTTCAAAATTTTAAAAAATTTAATGACGATCGAATTTTGATAGAGACAAATATTTGAAATTTTGATGATTCATNACAAACATACAAACAAACAAACAGACAGACAGACAAACAGACAAGCCAAATTTTAATAATATTTTATGCTATAATATTAAAAAGTATTTTTCTCAACATCCACATTTTGCAGATTTGAAACTTAGAAAACCACATATTTTGTTTGAATAAGAACTGTTGTGTATCTAGACGGATCTAGGTCCACCCCTCCACTCCCTGGTTATCCCTGGAGTCCTACACGACCTCGAGGCCGATGCTCTAGAAATGTGGAAATCTTAAAGTTTAAATTATTTTTAACAATATTTTTTAATTGTTATTTTTTCAGACCGGTTTTAATACTATGTATTTTACGCTATGTCCGAATCCGATGTTTCAGATCACGACGATGAGTATTATCGGTAAGTTTATTTTTTTATCTGGCTGTCAACAAAATTTAAGATATCAACCACGATTCATAACGGAACCCATTATCTATTTAACAGTTATGGAGACATATTTGTGTTGTAACTAAAAAATTTAAAACTGAGACTTTCACATTTTATGTGCCTTAATGATATCTGCAGACAAACATGAAAATGGCCGAGATAGTTAACGATTTTAGAACATAACCCATACAACTTTTCCATCGCTAAATCATGATTTCACTTCATGATTATGATTTATCTAATATGAAAGCCCTTTAAGATTTTGTTAAACATCTTAATTGAGAAATTTTTATTATAAAGCAAAACTAAATCAATTTGAAGTATTAAAACTCTTAACCTTTATGAACAGACTATAAACCCAGCTATGTTTAGAAACAAAACTTACTCTCCAATAGTTAAACTATTTTCAATTTTGACTTTCTATACCTAGATAAGAACATTTCCGTGGATCTAGCAAATCCCCAATAAAAAATTTGAGGCAAATCGGTTATGGGATACATTAGTTATGAAAGTACATACAAACAGAGATTTCTACTTTTTATACAAAATCACACGGACAATTACCATTAAGATTAAACATTTTTGGCAATTGGCAACGAAAGATGAAGTCGGGCAATTAACTTAATGAAATTTCTAAACTAATATTTGTTTTTAGTTCAATTATTCGCGAATTCCGTATGAGTGAACTCCATGAACTTCTCAAGTTTGCGGGACAGACTAGAAGCGGCAAAAAAGACGCACTAATAGTAAATATTATTGAATTCTTAAAAATAAATTAAAATGAATGTAGTCTTTGACCTAAATAAATGTTAAATGTTTTGTACGATGTCATTGTTATTTTTTATATTGTTCGAAAAACTAAATCTCTCATATAAGATATTTTTTTATATTTATTTCAGTTGGGTGGGTTATTTAATATATATGTCTAATTATAAAGAATGCTATATAATATTCTTGATGCGTCTATATATTGAAGACTGCATACTTTATATCTTATGAGATAAAAATATAAGCAAGACATTTTTTACAGATTTTTTTACATGATTATTTTAACATGAATTAATTTTGAAATATAATATTCTTCTAAAAAAGTTTTCAAAATTCAACATTTCAACAAAGTTAAACTTTTCTCTTTATAAAAACAACTCTTTGTTTACTTTAAGTTACAAGATATTGCTTTCTTCTTGTGTTTAAATTCTAAATTGTTTAGAATTTACAACTTATGTAATTTCTCTGGTAATGTTAAATTTTTTTTTGTCTAAATCAAACCATACACATGTATTTTTAGGATAATCGGATCTGACCCGTTTTTTCTAAATGACCCCACGGAAGGGTAAAGTAAGAGAACATACTCTATGTGCTCTCTACCTGTTTACCTTATATACCCCTTGTTAACCCTATGTGCCCTCTACCTGTTTACCTTTTATACCCCCCCTGTTAACCCTATGAGCTTGAGTCTTGTTAAAGTTAATTCCAAATCATATTTTATTAAGATAAAAGATCTTTACAGGCAACAATGAAATGAAACTTAATTTAAAAATTTGAGATCTGATACTTTTTATCATTGCAACCAATTAGAAATTGGAATTTCATTGTTGGTGAACTAGGAAAAACTCGGTAAAGAATACATCTGAATACGAAGGTAAAGAGCAACAATTCTCCTATACTATTTGTATTACTTCTAAAAAGGATTTGGTGTAAAACATGGCCATGAAAAGTTAATGAAATGTTTCTTTGTACTTCTTCAGAGGTGGCTAGCCCTTTAATTTTGATTTTTAAGAATAGATTGAACTGGTCATGGTTTAGACATAAAGTTGATCAAATCCCTGTAAAATATCTAGGGGGGGGGGATATAATATATCATTAATAATTCAATGCCCCCCCCCCCATTCTGGAAAATATCATAAGCCGTCCCTCTTTTACCATATTTCTAATTTAATTTCTAGAAAGTTTTTTTTGCGCGAAAAACAGGGCCAGTTTAATAGGTTTGGGTTTTTAAATTGCTTGACTAATTTGTTTGGTTTGGAAGGAAAAATGGCGACTACTATGTGTGGTTTGGCAGAAAACATTGCGACTAATTTGTTTGAAATTATGGCGCCTTTAAGGTCCTGTTTTGGTTGTAAACACGATTACTAATATGTTTGGTTTTGGCAGGAAATATGGCGTCTAATGGAGGAAATGAAACCTACTCCAACCCGTACACATCTCCGATACCTGACTCTCCGTTATCCATCCCAAACCTTTGTTCTTCTCCCAATGCAGATATTGAGCTCAAACCTCTCCCCTTCTACAGTGTACTCTCTGTCTTACTTAAACCATTCTGTTTAAGCCCGAAGGGAAATCAGCGGTTTCAGGTAATAATTACCGCAAATAATTTGATTGATTGATTGACTTTTAAGTTTAATTGATTGATTAATTCACTTATTGTATTGATTGGTTGGTTTGCTAAATGAGTGGTTGATTTCTTTATTTTGTTGCTTTGATTGATTGATTGACTATCCTAGGAGCGCATTGTACAGTTTAATCTCACCTCTTCTCAAGCTGCTGAGATTTCTTGTTCAGGGTACAGGTAAGAAGCAGGGGTTAGTTGGTAGGCCATTCACCAGTGGTACCTACTTGGCCCTCTAGATTGTGCAGGGTACAGACTGCTGACTAGGGGCTGTGTGGCATTCCAAAAAAAGAAAGGGGAAAAGGGGAAAAAGATCCTCTCTTCCGATGGCAATCTGGGGATTCAATTTTGGGGGTCAGATTTTCTTATTATTATTCTTAGAGGGCCAATAGGCGGCGGCAACATATAGGCTTTTATTTCTACAGAATTATGGTTAAGAATTTGTTATTATCATTTATAATATTATTTTTCTTTCTAGTTTTTCAAAACCTGATAAAATTTGTAAAAACTTATTTTTTTGTGTTCAATTATCTTTTTTATTAAAAGGAATATTTTTGTTAAGAACTGCGAATGGAAGACTAGAGTATAGAAAGCAAATACAGTTGAGATTTGCTCTTGTGGATACTACATCACCACAGGTAATTAAAGGGACATTCCATTAAACAAAAAAGGGCATGCCGGATACACGTTACCCAAGAAACCTTATCCTATTAAATAATGTAAAATTTATCGTACGCACGCATTTTTCTAGAAAAACGCAATTGAAAGTAATAAATTTTTCAAAAAAAAGATTGTGGAAATCTCATGCACTTACAATGACTGATTAAGCTAAGGTTTTCAGGGTACCGTTGTGAATTGTACATCCCCCTCTATGTACATATTTAAAATCACTAAAATTATTTTTTAAGTGAAATTCTTTTGATTATTTATATTTTGAGATGTAAAAAACGTTAAAAGAATCAGTTGCTTGGAAGATCTAATTCTTAAAATGTTAAGTCTTATTTTTTCTATGGAAATTTTAATGAAAATACTAAGTTTCTTTCAAATAGATGGCATTGTAGAATTCATACACTCTCAGTACAGCTGTTTTCTGTCAACTAAGTTTTTGTGTCCATCAAAATTATTAATAATAGTGTTAATTTTAGAATCATGTGCTTATCTTACAGTGAAAAAGTGCAATTTTATGTGTTCTCTATTTTCTTTTTATACACTTTTTTTATTTAATCTTGGAAATTACTTGTCAACTAATGAGAGAAAATTTCATTTTACTTTCTCTGTTTATTTTCTGTTTTTACACTTTTTTATTTAATCTTGGAAATTACTTGTCAACTAATGAGAGAAAATTTCATTTTACTTTCTCTGTTTATTTTCTGTTTTTACACTTTTTTATTTAATCTTGGAAATTACTTGTCAACTAATGAGAGAAAATTTCATTTTACTTTCTCTGTTTATTTTCTGTTTTTACACTTTTTTATTTAATCTTGGAAATTACTTGTCAACTAATGAGAGAAAATTTTATTTTACTTTCTCTGTTTATTTTCTGTTTTACCACTTTTTTTTATTTAATCTTGGAAATTACATGTCAACTAATGAGAGAAAATTTTATTTTACTTTCTCTGTTGCCACCTATTGTACCTATTTGGTTTCTTTAAAATTGAAACGTTTTCTAAAACATTTGTTTTAGGAGGATAGATTTCCTAGTTCAATATCCTTGAAGGTTAACTCTAGACTGTGTCCTCTACCTCCTATTTTACCTGCCACTAAATCCGGGGTAGAACCTTCCAGAGAACCTAAGTAAGTAATATTTTTTTCATTTATACTGTATCTGAGTTCATTTAACAGCAAGTGTTGCTGAGCCACTTCATAAAGAAGTAGGAATTGAATCCAGAGGGGATGGAGAAAGTAGTTGTGTATGAATGCAGGATGCATACATGCAGGAGTAACTTGCTCAGTTCCAGGATATATCCGCTAGCACAACTACTTTGAACAAGAAATCTACATTTGAACACTGTCAAATTCTTAAGGAGCATTTGGAGACTTACAAGGATAAAATTAGTGAAGTTTGGGACCCTGAGGAGGAGATGGGAGTGGGTTCCAACAGGAAGGCGATAGACAACTGGGTGCAGGACCAGTTGGTCAAATGGGTTAGATGAGTTCCAGACAAGAAGCAACCATTCATTAGTAAAAAGCATGAAAAGGCACGATTGAGACAGCTCACTCAATCTTTCTATTAGCGAAGCCCTTGACTCTGCATTCAAGCAGTCTTGTCAGGAAATCTAGAGATTACTCAGGTGATATCAAAGAAGGAATTAGAAAAATACTGGGCTGGTTTATTCTCGAAGCAACCAGAAGGTGTAGTTAAAGTAGATACAGTCAACCGACCATCAGATACTACGTACTCAGCTCCAATATCTGTAGACGAGATAAAAGAGGGTTTGAAATTCAACTTCCCCTGAGAAGAGAAGTTTCCGGAAGAAGAAAGATATGAATACTAGTGATAAAGATTTGTCAATAAGTCTACTTGGTTGTCTCAGCAGCGAAGGATATCCGATTCTGATTTAACTTTTTGTATTTAAACTTCAGGAGTTTTATACCTAGAATCCCATATTTTTAGTTTTTACCATTAGGATTGGCACCAAATGAATCCCAGTATTGACTAAATGATTTTACATTATAGCATTCACTAATGATTAATTCACCATTTTATATATTCGTTATATCCTTTACTAAATGAAGTTTACGTTCTTCTACACATTCATTATATCCATTAGAATTGGACCAGCATTTATATGAACATTAAATAATAATAATCGCAGCATTGGGATTGCAATCCTTTATTGTTAAGGGTTGGTTAAACTTAATCATTTTCAAACCGTTTTATCTGATAAAGTAATGGAGTTAAAACACTCATGTTACATTGGACATTTTCATCCAACTGCCGAGTCGTAAAGCATACTGCCCGACTGTCTACTTTATTCAAGTTTTTTTTAGTTTATCTTCATTGAAAATGAAGTTTGGTGAGATTTTGAAAATTTCTGCATACTAGTAAAAGAACTGTCAGAGCTTTTCAAAACTGGAAAGATCGTCATGTCCTCACAATAGCAATTAATTGTTTTTTCACTTTATATTTAAAAAGGTGTCCAAAATTCAAAATTCAGTATTAATATCTAAACAAATTAGAAAGAACAAACAAGTCAATTTGCCCCCACCGATTATCTAAAACTAGTTTAAAACTACCTCAGTCGGAGTCAGTAGCCCGAGATGATGAGTTGAAACCACAATCAAAACCAAGAAAAAGTTATTTTAAAAAAAAACTTATCATTGAAATACTAGTGTCACAAACTTTTAATGGGGTCTTTTCACTCCATAGCAATGAAAACAAACCAGTAAACTTTGCTTCATAATAAAAGATAAAGATATTCATCCGTTCATGTCAATCTGAATTATTTTTTACTCAAATTTCTTGGGTATGTGCCCATGGAACCTCCTGTGTCATAGTATAATATATAAAAGTTTGCATCAAACAAAATCATATGCCTTGGCTATATCACAAAAAGCAATTGATATTGTCTGATGTTTTCGCCTTGCTTCTCTAATAGCTGTAACAATTAAGAACATGCAGTCTGTGGTTGACCTTTGTTTTCAGAAACCATATTGTACTATTCCATAGAAATTTTCTCTTTTGCAAATTATGTGCATTCGCTTATGTAGAATCTTTGTAATAACACATAACATTATAATAACAACATATAATGAAAGTTTTCTTTGGGATGTTTAAATTGTTACGATCACAGGTGGTCACAGTTTTTAGACCTATTAGCCTGAATTGCAGCAAGAACTCTTTTTTTGTATAGGCACATGACATATAACTAAAATAGAAGGGGTGCAATTTTAAAATATGATAAAATTGGTCAAACTTATGGGAGGCCCTTCTAAAGTGAGAATTACAGGCTATACCACTGCTAGATTTTCACCAACATCAGCACTCTTTCAGCGGAATTACACGCTATGCCTCCACTGGATTTTCACCTAACCATGAATTGTTTCACTCAATCAATTAACCTCTACTGGAGTTTAATCTGATTATCTTCTAGAAATCCTCTAAGCCTCCACAGAAATTTTAACCACAAACTAATTTTTCTTTGGTGGAATTAAACACTATGCCTCCAGAGGATTTTCATTTGGCCATGAAGTAATACTCCTTCAGTGGTTTGTGATTGAACCTGTGGAAACACTAATAGAGTGGAACTAACATCTACTTTTTTACTCTACAGAGGTTTGGTCCATCACCATCACTGAATTTTAAATCTAATAGAGTCATCAGTGGAATTGCTGCAATACTGCTGCTAGATTTTCACTTGACATCAGTTAGCACTCTTTCAGTGGAATTACACGCTATGCCTTCACAGGACCACCTTTTCTGAAGTGGAATACACAAAATGCCTTTTTTAGATTTTCATCTTATTATCTTTCTGCACTCTACCAGTAGAATTGCATCCTGTGTCTCTGAGATTTTCCCTTTGCAGCTATTAGCACTCCTTTATTAGAATTACATTCTTTGTCTCCATGGGATTATCATTTAATAATGAAGTAACACTCCTTAAGTGATTTAAGATTGACATGATGAAAACACTTAATAAGTCAACAGTGGAATTTAAGGCTATACCACTGAAAGATTCTCTCCTGACATCAGCACTCCTTCAGTGGAATTACACGCTATGCCTTCACAGAACAATGAAGGCCCTTCTTCAATAGAATGCATACTATGCCTCTTCTGGATTTTCATCTTATTATCCTTTAGCATTCTGTGTCTATCCAGGATTTTCCCATAGAAGATGTTGGCAATCTTTCAGTAGAATTACATGCTATGCCTCCACGGGATTCAGTGGTTTAAGGTTGATACTGTAGAAACAATTATTTAAACATTGGTGGATAACATCTGCTGTGTAACTCTTACTTCTCACCATAAAAGTAAAACAAAGATGCTCAAAAAGTTTCATACTCAGATTTCATGCCATTTTGATACCTCAACATTGGTGAATAATTCAATCAAGAAAAGAAACCACTCATCTAGAGATACTGAGGTTAGAAAGCATCATAACTCTATTCTCAGTGTAGAGTCAGGGGAAGATGTTTTAAATGGAGATTCGATTCTTTCCAGGCATCCAAGCTCAAAAGGAAAGGGTATAAAATCAAAAAAAAAATGAAGGAAGGACGGATATACTGAGTGTGTTCTTTTCAGTCATATGAGAACGGGATGCTTCTATGCAAGTATTGTAAAGGGTATTCTCATGCAGATTGTTATGGAGGGATGGATATCAACATCATGCACGCTTGTGGATCATGTGCCATTAAGGAGAACGTGGATTGTGCTGATGCTAGTGTCGAAAGATTCATAGAGAAGCCTAATAAATCTCAGCAAGGACACTCCACATTTGCATTTAATCTGATGCTGAAACAAGTGATGAATTCTATTCTAAAGGGGGAATATAAATCAACTCAACCAGTGGCCAAATTTAAAGAATTTGAGCGGTGGTTTAAATTTAAGCCGTGGTTTAAATATGGTTGGTTCCACTTAAAATTGTATCAAATGTTTCAAGATTTAAGCCAGCGCTTAATTTAAACCGGGTTTTGGCGGATTTAAACCGCGGCTCAAATTCTTTAAATTCCATCTCAGGACTGGCAGCAGATGTTGAATTTATGAAGATGAGATTCAATATGAGTTCCACCTATGCTAGCAAGATTGTTCTTTATTTGGTTCAAAATGGATATATTGTCTTTTTTGGAGGTTTCCAGGTAGACGAATCAAGTATTAAGAAGTTTCTCTATCTGAACAGTGGAGAAACTGTTTAAGATCTAAAGAAGACACTGGTTCTACGCCTAGTGGAGGCCAGGAATTAGATGAATCTAAGGACGGCAGAGGAGCTAAGGGATCTAAAAATGGGGGAGTTGGAGTAAAGAACTCAAAACTCAGGAAACCCATTACATTTCACCGGATAAATATAAAGACAAGGAACAGGAAATTGTCATCTCGGATGAATATTGTGAACTTTCATATTCAAGAGGGTAAAAATAATGAGGAAGACAATGGAGGTTCAACAGATCTAGGAGAGGGAAGTTCGTCAAATTTAAACTTAACAGACACATTTTCCAACTCATTTACGAAGTAATTTATTTTGCCAACAAGATTTCTGGAGCATGAGTCATGGAGGAAAACTGAACCGAAAGAGCCTTCTTTGGACAAAGAATCAAAACAGCAGGCCCTCGGTTGAACAGCAGTGAGAAAGTCTGGTTCAATCTGGTCTTCACCGTTTGGAGAAAAATGGAATCCATCCAGGTGTGGTCCTATGGAAAGGAAAAAGATATTTCTGAGTTAGCTAAATGGATATTAGTGGATTCCTGTATGGTGTTTTGGAATTACGAAGTTGTTTCAAAAACCAGCAATAAGATACCTTCAACTTCAGATTTGGCTGTTAAAGTTTCGCCCAAATCAAGGAACTTTGACAAATGGAATGGGGAATTGATTGAGAAATTTTTGGAAAAGTTTACATAGCATATCACTCGGAAACCTGTCCAAACGGAAAAAAGAATAAAGTTTCAAGGAAAAAGAGAAGTTCAAAAAAGACCCATCTCAACAGAAGATGCATCCATATCTACAAATTGAAAGTGATGGACTTAATATTAGCACATCATTCTTTGCATCCGGCCGATTAACTGAACCCAGCCAGCATGGAGAAAAATCAACTTCCCCTGGGAAGAGAAGTTTCCGGAAGAAGAAAGATATGAATACCAGTGATAAAGATTCGTCAATAAGTCTACTTGGTTGTCTCAGCAGCGAAGGATATCCGATTCTGATTTAACTTTTATAAACTTCAGGAGTTTTAAACCTAGAATCCCATATTTTTAGTTTTTACCATTAGAATCGGCATCAAATGAATCACAGTATTTACTAAATGATTTTACATTATAGCATTTACTAATGATTAATACACTATTTTATACATTCGTTATATCCTTTACGAAATGAAGTTTACGTTCTTCTACATATTCATTAGAAACCATTAGAATTGGACCAGCATTTATTTGAGCATTAAACAATAAATTTCACAGCATTGGGATTGCAATCCTTTATTGCTAAGGGTTGGTTAAACTTATTCATTATCAAACCGTTTTATCTGATATAGTAATGGAATTAAAACACTCATGTTATATGGTTTGTAAAATGAACACAAATTTCAGTGTTTGATGCAGAAGTTTAATGTTACCAATATGGTGACAATGAATGTCGTATTCCGGTTTGTGATCTAAATCAAATTTTGTTAATTATGAAAGTTACAAAAATTGGAGAACATGAATAATTTCATGCAACTGATCTTTACCATCTTAGGATTGCGCTCGATTTCGAAGGTCTCTAACCATGCAGCTTATGTCATAGGTCTACAAATTGGAACTTTAATGGAAAGTGTTTTAAAAGTAACACATACTCTGCTAGATGGTAAACAAGTATTTAAACTGTCATCAGGGGCAATGTTTCATCAAGATTTGGCAAACTGGATCAACCAAATCAATTATGAAAATAGACTGATTGATTTTGTAACAGCAATACTTGAAATATTTGATAATACCAAATCCAAAGTGGTTAAATTTTGAGTTAAACAAGGTCTTGACACTTTAAATAGCAAACTAGCGGTTAATAACATGGTAAAACCACGAAACACCTGCTAACTTACATTTAAATCTTTTTATAAGTAAGTGATATCCATGCCATGTTTATATTCTTCCTACCTTGTGCCTCAATACAGTGCATCCAAATAACTGTGTCCTCCTACTATGTGAAAGACACTTTGACTCGTATCGTCCTCTATGTCTATTATTTTATACTTTAATTGATTATTGATTTCTAATTTTTAAATATTTGACATTCTATGCCTAATTGCTCCTTATCTAGACCTATCAATATAACCAACCTGTGTAAGCTGTGTACCTCTATGAACTCTGTGAGTATCACCTGGACAGTGGAGGTTGGGAAGTCCCACGCTGTCTCTATATACCTTGTGGAAAATGTTACTACCGACGATCTATTAAACAGGTGTTTATGCATATGCTCACTAATCCTGCCGGATTATTATCCGATGAAAAAATGTTCGAAAGGAACCGAGTACTTGTCTCAGACTCCAATTTTTAAATACTTATTATCTTTAAAATCTTATGTCATAGACCTATGAATTATTGAATTCGGCTAGATCAAACTGTTCACGTTTTGAATTTTAAAAGTTTACACCATCAGGTTGCAAAGAAAATTAAAAAATTTGATGTGAGTAACCAGAGAAAGAAAAATTTAATCAAAAATTATTTTAAATGCCAAAATTTAAGGGCGTTCACTATATTTAACAAGTCTTCCCCCCCCCCCTCCCTGAGTTGAATCTTGTTTACGTTCATGATCCCTGTTCATATCATTAATTATTCAAATTATGTATCTGTTAAAAAAATTAGAATTGTGTCATTTTTGAGTACTTTTCTTATATTAAATTTGGGAATTTTACTTCGTTGCTTTAGATTGTTAGAGAAAGGAGAACGAAATCCCGATGAAACAGTAGCCTTGATCAAAGAAAAACTGGAAGATCAGGACCAAGAGATCGCCACAACCTCGTGTAAAGTATCGCTAGCGTGTCCGCTAGGCCGGATGCGGATGAAGATCCCGTGCCGTGCAACCACGTGTAATCATCTGCAAACGTTTGATGCGGGTTTGTATCTACTGATGAATGAAAAGAAACCAAAGGCAAGTTTAAATGAAAAAAACATTAAAAAATGTTTTTAAATGTTTTTAAAATATTGGGTGAGGTAAATTACAATTATCCAATGAAATGAATTATTATAGTTGCACAAAAATTATCACATACGAGTAATTGTATAATTTGTACATTTCTAGATTTTGATTTAAGTTACAATTGTAATTGATCAATGCTTGTTTATTTAGTGGGTGTGTCCTGTATGTAATAAACCAGCTCTGTGTAAAGATCTTATTATTGATGGATTCTTCAGAAAACTTGTTACGTAAGTAATCCATACTTTAATTAATGAATAAATTAATGTATTGGGAGGATTGAATTAATGAATAAATTAATGTATTAGTAGGATTGAATTAAGGAATGAATTAATGTATTAGGAGGATTGAATTAAGGAATAGATTAATGTATTAGGAGGATTGAATTAATGAATAGATTAATGTATTAGGAGGATTGAATTAATGAATAGATTAATGTATTAGTAGGATTGAATTAATGAATAGATTAATGTATTAGTAGGATTGAATTAATGAATAGATTAATGTATTAGTAGGATTGAATTAATGAATAAATTAATGTATTAGTAGGATTGAATTAAGGAATAGATTAATGTATTAGGAGGATTGAATTAATGATAGATTAATGTATTAGGAGGATTGAATTAATGAATAGATTAATTTATTAGTAGGATTTAATTAAGAAATGGATTAATGTATGGGGAGGATTGAATTAATGAATAGATTAATGTATTAGTAGGATTAAATCAAAGAATAGATTAATGTATTAGGAGGATTGAATTTATGAATAGATTAATTGATTAGTAGGATTGAATTAATGATAGATTAATGTATTAGGTGGATTGAATTAATGATTAAATTAATGTATTAGGAGGATTAATTAAAGAATAGATTAGTGTATCAGGTGAATGGATTTATGTATGAGGAGGATTGAATTGATGAATGGATTAATGTATCAGAAGGAGAGAATTAAAGATTGGATTAATGTATAAGGAGGATTGGATTAATGTATAAGGAGGATTGAATTTATGAATAGATGATTAAATTATTGGATGGATTGATGTATCAGGAGAGTCGTATTTATTAATAGATTAATGTATCATGAGAATTTAATTTATGAATGAATTAATGTATCATGAGATTGAATTAATGAATATTGAATAGATTAATTTATTAGGAGGATTAAATGGATGAATGAATTGATAATGAATTGTTGAATGAATAAATGAATGAATTAATGAATGGATGAATGTATCAGGAGTGACCGGTTGCCTGCTGATGAGCATGAGATAGTTCTGCACAATGATGGAACCTGGGATCCTCTACCTCCACGGAAGGATGAATGTACAGTACTTGCTCCGACAATAAGCAAATCTCAGGTAAAATACAGAGGAGAAGAGAGAGTCAACTTGCATGAAGATCGTTTTCTGGTTCGTTCTAGTTCGTGCAAATATATTCTCTCTGCGTTAAAATTTGATATTTTTACTATTATTATTATTATTATTAACAATCAACCTACAGACAGAGTACAATGACTTGTAGTTTGAAATACAATGAAAATAGGGCTGAGCTCCTCCACTTACCCTGGTTTATATGGGATCTAGTGGTTCAGATCTGGCCTCAATTTTTATTAGAATTCGAAAAGCGGTTCAAACCTCTGCAGTGTTTGTTTATTTGTAGATTGAGGTTTATCAAAAACTTGACCTGGGAAAGTTGAGCAAGAAAAGCAAATGTCGTGAAAAATTTAAAAAGTCCAAAAACCTTGAATGTTTTGAAAAACGAAGGACGACGCCCAACACTACAAATGAGTTGCCTGCCAGATTCATAACGTCACCATTTTAAACATTCGTCTCATCAAAATTGATAAAGTTTTCCGATCTGAAATTTGAAAACGTCGAATTAGTGTTTCGCTATAAAATTTACATGCGGATTTCTTTTGCAAAAAAAATTGGCGAAATTGTCAGAATCAAACACTTTAAACACTTGAACAACGAGGACATCTTTTACATTTGATGAGAGAAAGGATTAAAGGGGTTATGACTGAATTGTCTCTTGAAATTCCCACGACAGTGGCTCACATTTCACATAAAAGTTTTTGTTTCATCTCAAAAAAGCAATTTCATATTAAAAGTCATAAGAAATTGCGTAACATCAAGTTGTAAGGATTAAAAACAAAACCTTTGTAAGATGCAAACAAGAAAATATATAAATATTGTTTTAGGACATATTTTCCGTGGAGGATACTGGTAAAAAGACAGAGACTCATATGAACGGAGATTCTGAAAAAACAGATCCAAAGAACTGGGAAGCTTTTAAGAACGGTCAGACCAACGGGCAAACAAACGGTGTGACTGAGACATTTGAAAATGAAAACGGGACCGGGTCGGGTGAAAGTACTAAAGTGATAAATGGTAAAATGGCGGAGGGGGTCGGACAGAAAAGAGAATTTGAGGATATTGACTGTATTACAATAGACTCAGACGATGAAACAGATTCATCAGACAAGGTAATATAATTAAGCATTCATTCATTCATTCACCTATTCATCCTTGCATCTATTCACCTATTTATCAATTCATCCTCTCATTCAACTATCTTTCATTTATCTTCATTTACAAGTAGAAAATTAAATCAGTAATCGGGATGTGCAATGTGCATATAAAATAATTTAAACTAAGGTTTAAATTCCTCGTTAAAAGTCAATGAATACCAAAATTTGGATAACATTCGTTTTACAATATTTGGGGTTTTTATCTTTTTTCACAAAAGATAGTAGAGTACCATTTTCCTCAAAATAATTCAAAAATTAAATACCACATTTTTTAAATCCCACGAGGCTACGCAGTCGACATTTTGATGAAAAATTATGTTTCAGGCGGTTGGTCAGCAGTTTGGGAAAAAAGCTAAAACAACAGATGGTTCAGATTCTCCGGAAGTAATCATTATTTTGGACTAAATCCGGAAGTAATTAGTACCCTGATCTAAATCCGGAAGTTATCATTATCCTGGCCTAAATCCGAAAGTTATCATTATCCGGGACTGAATCCGAAAGTTATCATTATCCGGGACTGAATCCGGAATTAATCATTATCCTGGCCTAAACCCGGAAGTTATCATTATCCAGGACTGAATCCGGAAGTTATCATTATCCTAGACTGAATCTTCATCACTAAAACTTGTAAGAAAATTAAGAAAGTGTTGAATCTGACCCTTTACTCAAATCCCTCGCCCTTTCTTTTTGCTACTTATTGTTACTCCAAAAAAAAACTATTTTTTAACTCCGTGCCAAATATTAGAACAGTCCCTTTTCTATTTTGAAAATGGGAGAGGATATTGATTGGTACAGAAACTAAATCTTAGATGATCTGATGTTATTTCTAAAATTAACATGAGAAAAATGAAATAAAATCTCAGTTATAAGTTTATTTAATATTGAGCTGTCAAAACAGTATTGAAATATATTATTTAAAAATGTTTAAGCATTTATTTCAATTATGAAATGACTATTCTTATGAAATACATTATAACAGTTTTTGATACCTCAAATAAACCACCAGGGGCAAGATTTAATGAATTTGAGCCAGGTCTAGAGACGGTTCAACCACTTACTTTTAGAATTGGTGATTAAGGATTTGTCCATGTCTCATAAAAGATTAATACACAGACAAGTATTAGAAGCGACCTCCCTTAAATTCATTAAATCCGATCCAATAACAACTAGGTTTCCTGGTACAGTTATTTTATTTTTTAATCTTTTTTTTCTTTATCCGAATTTGACTGCTATAAAAGACGGTAAATGTCTGTAGTTGATTCTATTTTTAACAGGTTAACGATCTACAATTCTACATAGGACGATCATTGATCGTTTTAGGAATTAGAAATTGTTAGAACAGATAGATCTTTTTCGATCCGTGTAATATCTATTCAAAATTAGTATCCCGTTTATGAACCGACAATAGAGAAAATGTGATTTAACAAATCAATGGTCAAGCTCAAATATGTTCGATTTGGCAAATTGTTAAGAAGCCTATCAAAAACAACTTTTAAAAAATAATGGCCGTTGTCCAGTTTCTTGCCTTTACCTTTGAAGATCTATATATATACTTCTGAGTGATAGTCGCAAGGAGTATAGAATAGAAAGAAGATGCAACTGACGCAGCCCGCCCTACTTGCCCTACCATACGATTATACATGGTTTGCAGACGGTACTGCATTTGTATAAGAAATATTTGTCTGATGTACAATGACCTATTCTGATTATTTCTTATACAAATGGAGTACCCGTCTGCAAAGCATGCATCATATGGTATCATTACTCCTTGGATAGTCGTGACCTAGAATAATCTGTGTATTTCTGCTAAAATGCAATTACTAAGTTACATGCTTGCAAGTTTGTTTTTGCAATCATAATACTCTAGGAGACAATTTTTGCACTCATGTTAACAATATTCAGGGTTACCCACACAGGATGAGAATTAAGAGACGACTGCACGAAATTTATCCTGTATGTTTCCTTGTATTTATGATTCCCGGAAGCTCAAGTTAAGTATACCGTTTAAAAACTAAAATCTCAATTTAACCTCGATATCGTAACATTTGAACAGTTTTAGGTCGTCTTTACAGTCTCATCCTGAGTGAGTCACCCTGTACAATATACATGCAGGGACTGAGTCCTAGAAATAATTAATGTTTGAGAAACAATTGTCATTTAAACAATTCAAACAGACTTCAGAGGCGACTTTAGTTCAAGGTCTATTATTTTATAGCTATAAGAGATCAAAAAAACTTTTAAGACAGTTGTACTACAGTGATAAGCAGAAAACTCTAAATCAGGAAGACGACTTTTAGATCAAGTTTTATTACTTTAAATAGTCCAACGAGCAAGGAACACAACAGATCATTTCACTAAACAAGTTACTATTAGCTTTGTAACAACATCTAATACACTTAAGAATTGCGGTAATGTCGTCTTCATAGTTAATTATTTTCTGGTTCTCACAGCTCTAGGGAAAAGGTTTTATTTATAGCATCGGGTCATTCTGGTTCCCAGAGATATCTTTGAGCTTGTAAGTCCCTCATTTAAAAATATTTAAATATTTTTTTTGGTCACGTGATACTGCACTGCCATTGGCTGAAGTTCTGTTAACGTAATACGGTCTATATGTAATAATATTATCAATTATATATATCAAAAATGCAAAATTAAAAAATAATAATAGGAACAAACCTAAGATTCTCAGGCTCCTGTGGGATATCGTCGTTTTGAGATTGGTTGCGTATTTGTTGAATATTATCTGTTTAATGTAGTACAACTTTTATACAAAATTCCACATATATGAATTTTCCTATGAATTTGACACAGTTTTATATCAATTTCTCGAGACAGGAACATCAGATTGATGTCTATTATGTATCGTTTAACGCTTGAGATTCTCAGGTTTTATCCTGTACCCCCTTTCAGTTTTCCTTTACAGTCCCTTTAAGCTTTAATTTTTTCCGTAATACGGGTTTTTTAAGAAGGGTGCAACCGTTAGGGGGGTGCACAATTTTTTTTTCAAATGTTCACCCCACTAAGCTGAACCTCCTCTACGCCCCTGGTTAAACCGAAAAAAAATTAGGTTAAAGGTACAAGGGTACCGTTGTCAATCAAGCATTGTCATTTTTGCATTGAAAGTCACTGAAACTTAGGCATTTTGTCCCAATAATACTTATGAAAACTTGAGATACTTATCCCACAATGGACAGAGAAGACTATGTGATGATCCGTCAAGAAGATATAATCTTAATATCGATCTTTTTAGTTCAACAATTTCAGTCAAATCTTACAGCGCACAGAAGTTGTTTTAGTCAAAAAGTATCAGTCCACATTGTATTGGGGACCACTGCGCATCATAAAATGATTCACATTTTCCTTATAACACGCATGCGGAAAGGGGAAGGGGGTTTCTTTGGGGTGAAGGAGGAGAAGGGGGGTATGGAGGGGGGACTTCCTTTTCTACCGTATTCCCCTGCCACGAAGCCAAGGTTGATTAGATAATTATCAATGTGACAAGGATTTTAACTCGTAGATTTATTGGCGTCTTGTTTTTATCTCTTTAAAGGACAATCCACGATTTCAAACATTTTTCCCCTGAAAATATTGTCCAGATAAAATGATAAAATAAATTAAAGTTATGCCAAATTTTAATATTTTAATTTTTTATGTAACTTGAAGATTTTGTAACTGTCTCTTTAATGAGGAAACATACTGCATACAATGTATACTTGGTGTCTTGAATCCTGAACAGATGAATAATGTAGTTTCTGTTGAAATCCTGTAAATGTTAATATACTTAATTCTTCACATAAAGGTCAGAAGGGTAAACAAATTACAATAACTCTTTAATGTGATTTTGTACTTTCTGGATTTTTTCTGCTCCCTTTTTCTAGATCTGTTTCTATATCTTGTTCTAGATCTGTTTCTGTATCTTGTCTAGATCTGTTTCTGTATCTTGTTCTAGATCTATTTCTGTATCTTGTTCTAGATCTGTTTCTGTAGCTTGTTCTAGATATGTTTCTGTATCTTGTTCTAGATCTGTCTCTGTATCTTGTTCTAGATCTGTTTCTGTATCTTGTTCTAGATCTGTTTCTGTATCTTGTTCTAGATCTGTTTCTGTATCTTGTTCTAGATCTGTTTCTGTATTTTGTTCTTGATCTGTTTATGTATCTTGTCTATATCTGTTTCTCTATCTTGTTTTCAATCTGTTTGTATATCTTGTTCTAGATCTGTTTCTGATTCTTGTTCTAGATCTGTTTCTGTATCTTGTTCTAAATCTGTTTCTGTATCTTGTACTAGATCTGTTTCTGTATCTTGTTCTAGATCTGTCTCTGTATCTTGTTCTAGATCTGTTTCTGTGCCTTGTTCTAGATCTGTTTTTGTACCTTGTTCCAGATCTATTTCAATATCTTGTTCCAGATCTGTTTCAATATCTTGTTTTAGATTTGTTTCTGTATCTTGTTCTAGATCTGTTTCTGGATCTTGTTCTAGATCTGTTTCTACATCTTGTCTAGATCTGTTTCTGTATCTTGTTCTAGATCTGTTTCTGTATCTCACTCTCTCCTATGTATGTTGTAGTGGAAACATGGTTTATGAAAGTATGTATCATATGAAACACCTGTAAGCATAATTAAAAATAAACAATAGGGGATTCGAAACTTTACAAAGATTCATTAAACCTTCTCTTTCATATACTACATACAGGGTGTCCCATTTAACATTCTCCTACATATATTACATACAGGGTGTCACATTTAACCTTATCCAACATATACTACAAACAGGGTGTCCCATTTAACAATCTCCTTCATATACTAAATACAGGGTGTCCCATTTAACCTTATCCGACATATACTACATACAGGGTGTCCCATTTAACAATCTCCTTCATATACGAAATACAGGGTGTCCCATTTAACAATCTCCTTAATATACGAAATACAGGGTGTCCCATTTAACAATCTCCTTAATATACGAAATACAGGGTGTCCCATTTAACCTTATCCGACATATACTACATACAGGGTGTCCCATTTAACAATCTCCTTCAAATACTAAATACAGGGTGTCGCATTTAACATTCTCCTACATATACTACATATACATACACGGTGTCCCATTAAACCTTCTCTTACATATACTAGTATATACAGGGTGTCTCTAATCCATCTCCTACATATACTAGTATATACAGGGTGTCTCTAATCCATATCCTACATATACAAGTACATACAGGGTGTCTTTAATCTATCTCCTACATATACTAATACATACAGGGTGTCTGTAATCTATCTCCTACATATACTAGTACATACAGGGTGTCTCTAATCCATCTCCTACATATATACTAGTATATACAGGGTGTCTCTAATCCATCTCCTACATATACAAGTACATACAGGGTGTCTCTAATCCATCTCCTACATATACTAGTACATACAGGGTGTCTCTAATCCATTTCCTACATATACTAGTACATACAGGGGTGTCTCTAATCCATCTCCTATAAATTCTAGTTCATACAGGGTGTCTCTAATCCATCTCCTACATATACTAGTATATACAGGGTGTCTCTAAACCATCTCCTACATATTATTTACAAGTTGTTAAAAACATTTATT